CTAATTTCAAAATCCATTAAAGACACAACGAAGAAAGAAAACTTCAGGCCAATTCTTGTTGATGAACACAGACGCTAAAATGCTCAACACAATATTGACAAACTGCATCCAACAATACATTAAAAAGATCATACACCATGACCAAGTAGGATTCATTTGCAAATCAGTAAATATAATATATCACATAAACAAAAGCAAAGACAAAAACCACATGATCATATCAATAGATGCAGAAAAAGCATTTGATAAGGTACAGCACCCATTTATGATTAAAACACTCAGCACAGTGAAAGTATAGGGAGCATTCCTCAATATAATAAAGGCCATATATGAGAGACCTACAGCCAACATCATACTCAATGGGCAAAAACTAAAATCTCTTCCACTAAGATCAGGAACAAGACAAGGTTGTCCACCTTCACCACTTCTATTCAATATAGTTCTGGAAGTTTTAGCCACAGTGATCAGACAAGGAAATAAAAGGCATCCAAATAGGAAAGGAGGAAACAAAATTGTCACTGTTTGCAGATGACATAATAGTGTATATGGAAAATCCTATACACTCTACCAAATATCTGCTCAACCTAATAAGTAAATTCGGCAAAACAGCAGGATACAAAGTCAATTATCCAGAAATCAAAGGCATTTTTGTACACCAACAATGAAACAGCAAAAGCAGACATCAAGAAAAAAAATCCTATTTGATATAGCAAAAAGAAAAATAAAATACCTAGGGATAAACCTAACCAAGGAGGTAAAAGACCTGTATGCAGAAAACTACACAACAATGAAGAAAGAAATAAAGGAAGACACAAACAAATGGAAACATATACCACGTTCATGGATCAGAAGAATTAACATCACCAAAATGTCCATACTACCCAAAGCAATTTACAGATTCAATGCAATACCTATTAGAGTACCAATACCATATTTCACAGACATAGAACAAACACTTCAAAAATGTATATGGAACCATAAACGACCCCAAATAGCACCTGCATTTTGAAAAAGAAGAACAAAGTAGGCGGGATCACAATACCTGATACCAAACTGTATTACAAGGCCACTGTAATCAAAACAGCCTGGTACTAGCATAAAAACAGGCACATAGACCAGTGGAACAGAACACAGAGCCCAGAAATAAACCCAAGTCTCTAGGGTTAATTAATATTCAACAAAGGAGGCATCAACATAACATGGAGTAAAAATAGCCTCTTCAACAAATGGTGTTGGGAGAACTAGATACCTACGTGCAAAAAAAATGAAACTTGAGCACCAACTTACACCATACACAAAAATAAATTCAAGAGGGATAAAAGACTTAAATATAAGCTGTGACACCATTAAAGTCCTACAGGAGAACACTGGCAGGAAAATGTCAGATATTTCACACAGCAACATTTTTACTAATACGTCCCCTAGAGTAAGGGACATAAAGGAAAGAATAAACAAATGGGATCTCAGCAAAATAAAAAACTTCTGCACAGCTAAAGAAAACAGTATTAAAATAAAAAGAGAACCAACTGTATGGGAAAACATATTTGCCAATGATACCTCAGACAAAGGTTTAATCTCCAAAATACATAAAGAACTTACATGACTCCACTCTAAAAAGACAAGCAACCCAATTAAAGAATGGGCAAAGGACTTGAACAGACACTTCTCCAAGGAGGAAATACAGAGAATCCAGAGACACATGAAAAGATGCTCAATATCGCTAGCCATCAGAGAGATGCAAATTAAAACCACAATGAGATACCACTTTATACAGGTCAGAATGGCCATCATAAAGCAACAAACAACAAGTTTTGGAGAGGTTGTGGGGAAAAGGGGACCCTAGTTCATTGTTGGTGGGATTGCAGACTGGTACAACCATTATGGAAAACAGTATGGAATTTTCTAAGAAAACTAAAAATGAATCTGTCTTTTGACCCAGCAATTCCACTGCTAGGATTATATTCTAAGAACCCTGAAACACCAATCCAAAATAACCTATGCACCTCAATGTTCACAGAAGCACAATTTACAATAGCCAAGAGGTGGAAACAACCTAGGTGCCCAGCAGTAAATAAATGGATCAAAAAAGTATGTACATTTACACAATGGAATTCTATGTAGCAGAAAGAAGGAGCTCTGGAAAGCATTATGCTGAGTGAAATAAGCCAGGCAGTGTAAGACAAATACCATATGATCTCACCTTTAACAAGAAGCTGAACAACAAAACAAACAAGCAAACAAAATTTAACCAAAGACACCGAAATAGAGAACAGGCTGACAATGATCAGAGGGGAGAGGGGAGGGAATTTCAGGAGAAAAGGGGAAGGATTTACAGGAACTAGTATAAAGGACACATGGATAAAAACTAAGGGGGATGGAAATGGGAGGGAGGTGGGGGGCACTGGAGGGGGTGGGCTGGGATGGGAATGAAAGACAGAAAACTTACTTGAACAATTAAATTAATAAATAAATATAAAATAAAATAAAAAACCTCATTTTACACAAATTATTTCATTTAGTGACAAATTGGCAAGTAGTTAATCATAGTCCCAAATATCAACTGACATGACTTATTAATAAATGGATTTTGTTTATTTATGGTAACAGAATTTTTTAAAGAGTGCAATATTTTCTTCTATTTTGAAAAATGTACATTATGAAAAAGGCATCATTGTCTTTGACATGTCATAGCAATTACTTAGTTTGTAATCGATAGTTTATACTTTGTTACTACCTTCCTTTGAAATTTAAAAATAGTTAAGATTGCTTTATGATGCTCCATAAATTTTATCACCTGTAAAATAACCAAAAATTAGAATACTCTAGAATTAGAATAATCTCATTTAATATATAATTAAAAGAACAGCAGAGACTTCTGGTCAAGATGGAGGCACAGTTAGTATGCTTTGCCTCTTTGAGAAACCACAGAGAGAGTTACAACTATTTCTCAAAATAAGTAATAACCAGAACCATCAGAAAATCGAGCTGTATATGGAAGTTTTACTACCAAAGATTTAAAGAAGCCACATTCATCCAGATGGGTAGGAGAGGAGGAGTAGCAGAGACGGGAAGAGAGGCAGCAGTGGCGGAAAGGGCAGTCCTACATTCAAGTGTAATGAATAAAATCTGGAGGGACACCTTGGGTGTGAGCAATCCCAGTCCTAGGCCAGACTGCACAGCCTAGGGTTCCAGCACAGGGAAGATAAATCTCCATAACTTCTGGCTGGAAAAACCAGTGTGGGTTGGGGCAGTGGAAGAAACTGCAGGATTTTCAGAAGAGTTCATTTAAAGGGCCTGCATAGACTTAGAATATGCATACCTACCCACTCTGGGAATCACCACCAAGGCGAGAACTGGAAGGATGCCAGTTACATACGGGAAGTGGGTGATGTGACTAGAAATGGGGCCAGTGCCAGCAGAGCTCCAGGAGCCAGGCAGCGGCACTGTCTCCTGAGCCCTCCCCCCCACCACAGCAACAAAGTGGTAAAGCAGGTTGCCCTGCCCTGGTGATTACCTAAGGTTCCACCCCACACAATTTACAGGTACCTTTTATAGGGAGTCAAAGCATCTCTATCTGGTACACAGAAACAAACACGAGGAGGCTGCCAAATTGAGGAGATGAAGAAATATGGCCCAAATGAAAGAACCAAACAAAACCCTAGAAAAAGAACTAAAGGAAATGGAGATAACCAACCTATCAGATGCAGATTTCCAAACACTGGCTATCAAGATGCTTGAAGAACTCACTAAGTACAGCAACAACATAAGAAGTGAAGGTCACACTAAGTGAAATTTAAAAAAAAACCTACAGGGAACCAACAGTGGAGAGGATGGAGCCAAGGATTAAACCAATGATTTGGAACACAAGAAGGGAAAAAGCATTCAATCAACAAGAAGAAAAAAGAATGAAAAAAAAATGAGGATAGGCTTAGGACCCTCTGGGACAACTTTAAATGTACCAGCATCCCAATCATAGCGATGCCAGAAGAAGAGGAAGAGCAAGAAATTGAAACTTATTTTAAAAATAATGAAAGAAAACTTCCCTAATTTGGTGAAGGAAATAGACATGCAAGTCCAGGAAACACAGAAAGTCCCACACAAGTTGGAACTAAAGAGGACCACAATAAGATACATCATAATTAAAACGCCAAAGGTTAAACACAATCTTAAAAGCAGCAAGAGAAAAGCAGATAATCACCTACAAAGGAGTTCCCATAAGACTATCAGCTGATTTCTCAAAAGAAAGTTTGCAGGCTAGAAAGGACTGGCAAGAAGTATTCAAAGTGATGAAAAGCAAGGACCCATGGCCTAGATTATTCTATCCAGCAAAGCTATCATTTAGAACTGAAGGGCAGATAAAGTGCTTCTCAGACAAGGTAAAGCTAAAGGAGTTCATCAACACCAGGCCATTGTTATATGAAATGTCAAAGGGACTTATGTAAGAAAAAGAAGATCAAAACTGTGAACATTAAAAGGGCAACAAATCCACAACTATCAACAACTGAATCTAGAAAACCAAACTAAGCAAACAACCAGAACAGAAACAGAATCACAGATATGGCAATCATCTGAGGGGGGGTTATCAGCTAGAAGGGGGAAGGGGAAGAATGGGGAAAAAGGCGCAGGGAATAAGAAGCATCTTTGGTTAGGTACAAAATAGACAGGGGGAGGTTAAGAACAGTATAGGAAATGGAGAAGCCAAGGAACTCATATGCACAACCGACAGACATGAACTAAGTGGGGGGATGCTGGAGGGAAGGTGTGTACTGGGTGGAGAGGGCAAAGAAGGAAAATTTGGGAAAACTGTAATAGCATGATCAATAAAATATTTTTTAAAATATCTGTAACAGCATAATCAATAAAATATATTTAAAAAAAATAATGGGCATCGAAAAGAATATATATACTCCCTGTAGTGTGTGTGTGGAGATACATATATGGAGCACACTCCCACACTGTGTGCATATATGTATGTGTATGCACATGCAGAGTTTTCTTACCCCCGAACTCATCTCCGTGCCTTTTGGCTGGCTTTGCGGTTGCTTATGGTGTCCTGTCAGCAAACCTCCAGCAGTAAGGTTTGGAAAGCTCTGAAGATAAGCCTGTGACCCTGAGAAATTTCCTTCTGCTATTCCCATGGAGGCTGGCTGTTTCTCCTGAGTATTCCCTTGTCCTGGTCCAGCTTGTCCAGCAATGTGCTGATTGGGAAAGAACGGTAACATGCCCATTCCAGCTGTTACAGTTGTTTGCGTTGGAATCAGGTTAGATGCTATAGTGAACCACAAATGCAAAAAACTTCTGGTTAGACAAGACTCATTCATAATAGTCATTTTGATCTTGCTAAGTTACAGGCAAAACACAAATAACCCCTTTTTTAAACCTGTCAGAGAACAAATTCAGAAGGTGAGGTTAGGGGCTGTATGTCGTCGGCTCGTTCCTATCCGGGAAAACAGAAACCTGCAACAGGCGTCATGCTTTTCTTAAGCAACTTCAAGAATGGTCTCAAGGGTATTTTTTAATTCTAAGCTTTAATGTGGAGATCACATTTTTTAAAATGATACAAATAAATACACTGTAAATTTACGAACACCAGATATTTCTTTAGAGAAGCTAACGGTTTCTCACCCGGGCAAAAACTGCACAGATGCACACGCATCGCGTGCTGGCAGCACAGCGGGCGGCATGTTGGGCTCACGCAGACCTGCACCTTCACCTCACGCCACCGGGAACCCTCATCAACTTTCAAAGCCTATCCCCGCTGGATATGGCTCTCTGGGCACGGAAGCAAGTTTATCGGTAACTCACCAATAGTTTTCTAATACTGAAAACAGAAAGGCCGAAAGGGCTCTCGAAATTTTAGATGAAACTCAAACTGGACCTTTCTGTAAAAAGCAGAATACAGGTAAACTATCTTTAAATTTCAAACCTGGCTGTGTATGGACTTGCTAGTAAGTACACATCACTTACTTTTATGGGCTTCTCCGTGGTGACCCAACTCTGCTTTCAAGGGAAGCCCCAACCCTACCCCGACTGCAGCCTGAAGCACCACAGCTGGGGCTTCGCCAAGCAGGCCTGGTTTCTGCCAGAGAAGAAAAGAAAGTGAGACTCTGCCAACAGCAGCAGGGCACAACTGAGTTAAAAGCCTGCACAAGAGGACATTCAATCTGACCGACAGCCTGATTATACAAAAAATAAAAATGAACTCATTCCAAACGAAAAGACCATCCTTACGTTATTAGCATGAATGCTCTCAAACTTCATTAAGTGCTGCTGTGCCAGCGATACATGGGGAAGGTTCTGAAGGAACAAACGAGAAGTATTACCCACAATTGAGCTCTGTGAAAAATGATAAAACATTAAGTTAGTTTAATTGTTAAAAGCTGCTTGTTGTAGAACCACTTCATATAGTTCAACTCTCTCTCTAGCTGATCCGAGCGAAAGCAACGGCTCCTGTGTGTCTCACTTGGCCACTTCTGACAACACTGATTACTTCCTGTAATCATACGTAAGACATGTCCATACCACCATCGAACGAGCTCCTCATCCTCTCTTCCTTTCCTTTCACCCGCACCCCATCCCTCTCTGGCTTTAATGTCAGCATCACTCACTCATTTATCTACTTCATCATTCCATGAAGATCCACTGAACACTTCCTGTGTGCCAGGCACTGTGCTACATCGTGAGAAATACAGCAGGACTGACCCTCATGGGTCTTAGAGTGCCCTGAAGAAAGAAGGCACTCACCAACTATAAAAACATGTAATTACAAATGCTAATGAGTACATGAAGGGAAAATACAAGGAGCTACGAGAACAAGTAGTGGGGGAAGTGACTGAGATTGGTAAATTCAAAGGTTTTCCTGAGGGACCACTGTGTAGAGGTCTGAAGGCTGAGGAAAAATAAAGCGGGGGAATGAGGTGGTGCTGGAGTGGGGGCCGTTCCAGGTGGAAGAACAGGAGCAGCAGAGGCCCAAGGAGGAGGGAACAAGGCCACTGGAGCGCAGACAGTGACACCGGGGAGCATGGGAGGCAGGTGAGCCCAGGCTCATGCCTTCAAGGCAAAATTAAGCATTTTGATCTTTATTCTAAAATAAAGAGAATACTGTCAAAACTCTGAACACCCTTCTATCACTCTTCACATCCTGGTGTAATTAGTTGTTTAATGTTTGTTTTCTCTGTTCACTGAAATTCTGTAAGAACAGGGGCGATGAATGTGTGTTCAATGCTGTCGACTCAGTGATTACCAGAGTGTTTAGGACATGTTAGATTCTGAATAAAATATGTTCAGTAAAGGAATGAACAAGGCCCTGTAATGTATAAGGTCCTGTGTAAGATGCTAAGAATGAAAAATAAAGGAGAGGCCGTTCTCTGACAAAGCTAGGTTTAGAACCAGACACTCATTCACACAAAACACAATCATCTATTATGTATTGGGTTTGATCAATAATTAGGTTTGTATACGAAGTCACCCTTAACACTATCTGAAACTGTTCATCTCCAGTATTATATTTACATATACATTTAAAAATATTTATTTATAAAAGGTAAAACCAATTTTTACTTCCACAAATATATGAATTATTTGTATAATATTACACTTTAAGAATAAGAGTTACTGTTCATTTATTCATCCTTTCTTTCTACAAACACTATTTTGAGTTAAGACCCCATCAGATGACTTATTGGAAGGGCAGTCACGCACCACATCACAAGGTTCTGGTCAGTGATGGACCAAATATACGACAGTGGTAGGAAATAAAGGTCCATGCATGTCGCTGCCCCTCGAGACCTTCCCGTGGGATAAGATGTGGGGGTGAAAGACAGTGATGCTGATGGTCCCCGAGGCTTATGTATATTTGTGTCTTAGTTTTTAACCCCCAAATTTAAAAACTTAAAATAGCAAGATTTTTAAAATAGGAAAAAAGCTTATAGAATAAGGATATAAAGGAAATATTCTTGAACAGATGTACAGTGTGTGTTTTAAGCTAAACGTTACTGCAAGAGTTGAAAAGTTAAAAAAAATAAGGTTATAAAGTAAAAAGGTTACAGTTAGCGAAGGTTTACTTATTACTGAAGAAAGTGTTTTTTATACATTTAATGTAGCCTAAGCGTACAGGGTTTATAAAGACCGCACCAGCACACAGCAATGTTCTAGGCCTCTACATTCGCTCGCTAAGCCCTCCCTGATTCTCCCAGAACAGCTCCAAACCTGCAACTGCACTAGCATTTTTATCCTTTTCACCGCGCCATTGCCATGTTTAGATACACAAGCACTTACCACTGTGTTACAACTGCCTACAGTACTCAGTACAGTAACACGCTGTACAGGTTTGTAGCCTAGGAGCAATAGGCTATACCACATACCTAGGTATGTAGTTGGCTACACCATCCGGGTTTGTGTAAGTTTACTCCATGGGTTCACACATGACGAAATCACCCAACTGTGAATATCTCAGAGCCAATCCCTATTGTTAACCAACATACGACTGTACTGATTTATAGAGAACTATACCCCAAAATATACCTCTGCCCTCCTTAATGCCCTACAAATAAGAATCAATAAATACATATAACTATGCTGCTTTGATTAACTTTGATCTGATGTATTTTAAGTTATGTTTTCACAAAGCTGTAATTAAGACTATGGATTTTTAAAAAAAATACTCATTTAACTTCTTGAGGATTTTACTCGTTAGAAACAAACAAAATATTCACTCTGGATTTTTGATGCTTCAATACTCAATGCTATTTATATACCTGATGTGCTTTATTCAAATGTAAAAATGCAGGGGAGATGGATGGACTCATCAGATGTGGCAAGCTGTGAGGTGTTCCAAGAACTGCTTTAAGAAAATAAAAGTAAAAATTTAACTTCAGGATATATGGAATTTAAAAAATAAATAAAACAAATTTCAAAAAGGATAAATGAATATTTCTTTAACCTTTTAACAAATTAATTGGCCGTTTATTTACATACTGACCTTGTCATTGCACAAGAAGTGACAGGATTTGTTCCGTGTGAGCCAACCCTAGAACTGGATTTAAAACTCCCAGACCTTCAGTCATAAATGGTGAACTCATGCTATTTGCTCATCTTTTGTTAGGTTTGGGGGGTATTTAGGCAGGGAGGTGGGGGTGGGAGGCAAGGATTTGATACAATCCTGTCCTTAGAAAACTTACAATCCAATTGCAAAGAGAATATATGTACAAAGAAATATTAACATAAAAAGAAAACAAAAAAACAACAGCACTGTACAGAGTTGGTAAAAAGAATAAATGGTAACCATACTCCATCGAGTCTATCTAAGAGCACAAATACTAGGGTACATATCAGATGACTTTTCAGAACAACATACACACAAAAAAACCCATTATAAATATATGAAGCAATTTCCTATTATTATTATTATAAGGTAGCTGGAAATAGTCATAACATAAACAGTTATCTAGCAATACAATTATTAGAACTAATGGAGATCAGACAGAGAAAGCTTTTCAAAAAGCATGTAATGCAATGATCAAAAATATCTGAAATTCACATATAACATCCCTACAAGTTCATCCCATGCTTTAAAAACCCTGTTCCAAGCTTTTATTACTTGCTGGGGCAGTCCATTACATCTTTGGAAAACTGATCACTAATAAAGAGCTCTCTTTAGAATGAGCCAGTTTCGCTATTGGTGGTAGGAAGACTAGATCAAGATGAGTTCCTCATAAGGAAAGAGTTTATTAGGAAAGAGGGATAGAGATGGTCACATCATAATAAGAGGGTAAATTCATCGAGAGGATGATGCGACAAGCTCAAATGTCTCTGCAAAAATGACAAAGATTCAAAATATATAAGGCAAAAATTTACTGAACAGAAAAGCAGGTAATTCCAAAGTTATGGTTAGAAATTTCAAAAACACTTCCTCTTTTCTTAGTCACCTTATTATGTTATAAAACATTAAAATATATTTCATAGCTATTAGTGAATACAGCATTTCGCAGTTTAAAATAACTAGAATCAATACCCTGAAAACGTCCACTGTCTCACGTCTAGCTGCTCCTACCCTCAGCTCCTGGCGAAGTCTCCCAGTACGTTCCTTCCATCCCTCACAATAATTAATAGAATAAGTTGACATAAAATTAGTGAGGATATAAAAGACTTGAACAGCACTTCCACTGAACAATATATAAAAAGATTATAATACACCATGACCAAGTGAGGTTTACCCTAGAAATGAAAGGTTGGTTTAATATTAAAAAATCAATCAATGCAATCCATCATGTTAACAGACAAAAAAAAAAAAACCCACCCCAAACCAAAATACCCACACAAGAGAATTTCCATAAATGGAGAAAAGCAATAGATAAATTTCAGCAATTATCCTGATATAATTTCTCGGCAGTAGAGGAATAGAAGAAGAAAAAGTTTCCAGCTTGGAAAGAAAATCTATGAAAAAAATATAGCTTAAATAATACCTAATTATATTAAAAAAAAGAATGCTTTTTTTTCTAAAATGAGGAACAAAGCAAGAATGTCCACTCTCACTGGTTCAATGCATACATTATGCTGAAATTTTTACCTAATACACTAAAGAAAAAAATAAAACACATAGATACTGGAAAGGAAGAAGTAAAATTGCTTTAATTTATATGTGACATAAGTGTTTATAGAGAAAACCCGAAGTACAAAAATGTACAAGAGATTCTAAGGCTGCAGGATACAAGATAAATATATGAAATCAACTTTAACTGCATATGCTAGCAATAAGAAATAGAAAATTGAAGTTTAAAGAGCAATCTCATTTAAAATAGTATCAAAAACTATAAAACACTATGGATAAACCTGACAAAATATATATGAGATTTGTACTCTGAAAACAACAAAATATTTCTGAGAGAAATTAAAGAAGAGCTCAATAAATTCAGAGATTTATACCATATTTATGACTTGGCCTCAAAATTGTCAAATTCTGCCCAGATCGGTACAGAAATTCAACTCAATATCAATAAAATTTCCAGCAGATATTTTCACAGAAATTGACAGGCTGATTCTGAAATTTACATGCAAATACAAAGAATCTACAATAGGCAAAACAAACTGAAAAAAGTTGAAGGACTTACTTTGACTGATTTTAGGGCTTATTTTAAAACTACACCTATCAAAACAATGTATTATTGATAAAAAGACAGACATTTAGATCAATACAGAGTTACAGCCCAGAGGCAGAGACATACATACATAGTCAGCTGATTTTTTAAAAAGATGACAAGAATTCAAGGGAAAAGAATAATCTTTTTAAACAAATGATTCTGGAACAACTGTAAATAAAATTAACCTGGACATTTACCTCACACCATAAACAAAAATTAACTCAAAATGGATCACAGATGCAAAGGTAAGAGGTAAAATTATAAAACTTCTTGAAGAAAAGATAGAAGGATATTTTAGCGACCTAGAATTTGGCAGATGTTAAATATGACACAAGAAGGGCAAATTATAAAAGAAAAAATAATACTTTGCACTTTGTCAAAATAATAAATTTTGTTCTTCAAAAGGCTTTAAGAAAATAGAAGGACAATCTACAGAGTGGAGAAAAATATTTGCAAACCCATGTATCCAACAGAAAATCTGTTAACTAGCATAAAGATCCCTTACAACTTAAGAAAATAATTCAACTTTTACATGTGCAAAATATATAAAAAGATATACTGACAAATATGTACAGATGGCAAAGTAGCACATTGAAAGATGTTCAAAATCACTAGTCAAAAAGGATATTCCCATTAAAACCGCAATGAAATAGCATTATACACCCAGAAGGGCCAAAATTAAAGGACCAATGTCTCAAGTGGTGGTGAGGATACTCAACAAACTGGAGTGCAGGACACTGATGACGAGAATGGGAAACAGCGGGAGGAGTTTGTGATAATTTAAACATACATCTACCCATGACCTAGCCATTCCACAACTATATCTTTACCAAAGCAAAATAAAAGTGTAAGTCTATATTAAAGACTAGTACACGTATGTTCATAGTAATTTTATTTGTAATGACCTAAACCTGAAAATAACCTAAATGTTCATTAACAAGTCAATGAATATGCTCACCGAGGCGTGGAATACTTATGACTCAGCATTAAAAAAGAAAAAAACCCTTGGATACATTCGAGAACATGTACGAATCTTAAAATAGGCCGAGTGAAAGAAGCCAAACAGTACATACTGTGTGATTTCTTTTATATAAATTTCTATGAAATACAAACTACTCTATAGTGACAGAGAATAAATTAGTAGTTTCCTGGGGGTGAAGGAGGGGTAGATTATAAAGGGATAAAAGGAAATTTTTGAGAATGAATATGTTCATTATTTTGATTGTGGGGTTGACTTCAGTGGTTGTATACATATGTCAAAACTCATCAGTTGTACACTTTAAATGCATACAGATTAATGTGCATCAATTATACATCAATAAAGCTGCTAAAAATATAATGACAATTACAAACTACTTAAAATACAAGGTGGGGCCTGGTTGGTGTGGTTCAGTGGATCCGGTGCCGACCTGTGAACCAAAGGGTCGCTGGTTGGACTCCCAGTCAGGGCTCGTGCCTGGGCTGCAGGCCAGGTCCCCAGTGGGAGGTACATGAGAGGCGACCACACATTGATGTTTCTCTCCCTCCCTTCCCCTCTCTATAAATAAATAAAATTTAAAAAATACAAGGTGGGGCCAAAGAAGGTTTACAGTTGTTCATATGGAAAATAACACCATAATTAATAAGGAATAACACAAATGAACTGTGTTTTGCATACTCACGACTGTAAACCTACTTCTGCCCCACCCTGTGTGTCACGCACACATAGATATAAAGAAAGGAATCTCAAATATTATTTTGTACATTTTTTAAGGTAATTAAAAGGTCTGAACTGAAGAGAAAAAATCAGTATGGTCAGAGTAACAATCAGTGCGGGTCTGGGAGGAAAATCAATCTGATGGCAGTGCGCAGGTTCAGGTAGACAGAAGAGGCAGACAAGAAGAGTAGTTCATAGATCAGACCGAATGTGAATAACAAGGCATGTACAAGTTGTGAGCTGAGATGTAAAGGGGTTTAATCGGTAAACAAACATTTAAGTAACTTTCACCATAACAGTTCTGTTCTAAATGCTTGGGAAAGACAGGTAAGTCTGCCATAAGGGAGCTTCTGCCCTGGTGGAGAGACAGACATAAGTAAATACCTGTGAGTGACCTGATAAATAAAACACTGAGGAGGAAGTCGGGCAAGGGTACAGGTACAAATATATTTTATATATAAACATGATTATAAAGAATTTTGATTCTCTTTTTCTTAGTTTGCTCAGAGGCCTCTGTGAGGAGTTTTTAGGGCATGGTAAGGGATACAGTTAAGATATAATAAAGGACATAGTAAAGTAAAAACAAATAGATCTTACTGATTAACAAGTGTGGACAAAAATGAGGCCACAGACTAAACCTGACAAGCTCAAGGGGGGGCCTGCCTGATGGGACTTACAAACTCAGAGACCTACAGAAACCACACAGGATGGTCTGAAATTAAAACTTTCTAACTAAAAGTGAGTCAGGGTGGGTAGTCATGTCCTAGGCTAGTGTCTGCCCCGATGAAGGTCAATCGTTACCTTAACTGTGCCTGTCCACTGTCTTTTTGCATCTACTTGGTAGCACACCTTTGGACTGTCAGCTTATCCCTGCTCTGCTACGGCTCCGTGAACCAGAGCAGTGACCACAAACCCCTCCTTGATATCGTTTATCATCTCAATTCACTTCACCATCCTACACCTACCAATGTAAAAGTACGTGTCTGTTCATTTTACTTTTTATCCTATCCCAGAGAGTTCCCTGCTTTGCTTTCTCCCGCCTCCCTAGTCCACCAGCAATGGGTTTCATGTAACCCCTTACACCTCCTGCTTTGATGGCAGCGATGTACAAAATAGGTGCAAAACTGCCATTCTCTGGGGCGTATTCTTAATCCGCTGAAATTGTGCTTCCCAGCAACTGTCATCAATTCAGCTCAAATAAACTCATAAAAGTTCTCTACAGGTTTAAGTGTTTCTTACGTTGACACAAGATACTTTGCCTTTCCTGAATAACAAAAAAACTTTCCATACATTCTCCAAAAAGTCCGGCATGTGTTCAACCGAGGTGGAGCTAATCCTCTTCCCTTGTCACTCCACTCAAACAAAAAGCCAAGCTTGGGGAGAGAAGTTTTCCATCGGTGGAATACTGAAACATCTTACTTAAAATTGTGACAGTAGCACTAAGATAAAGATGCATAATCTCTTATGCCCATACATCCATCTGAGAATAAAGGAAAGTAGAGAATATATATTCTTAGATAAAAAGCAAAGACAAAAATAATATTGAAGAGGAGTTACTAAAGATAGCCCAGAGTCCAAAGGTTTGGACAACGCTTTCTAAAACACCCCAGAGTGTGACGCACTTCTTTAAACACTAATACAATCTTGGGATGCACTAACGTTTAAAACAAGAATCACAGGAAAGAAATTCCACTGCACTTTCCGCAGCTCAGATCCCACCTACAGAATGTGCCACTGTCTGTGTATACACCCTATTTCAGGGCAACCCTGACCTCCTGGGCTTTGTCTACGAGAGGACAATTAGTGCAGGGGACCAGAGAGCATGTCCTGACATGTTACGGAATGTCAAATAGAGAAATGCAGTCTCCAAAGAGATGTAAGAGATGTAAAAAGAAAATATTAGAACTGTTTATAGTTTCACAGTGAAAATAAAATTAGTAAGCTTTAACATTTCTTCCTGTATGGGTTGACAAGGGTACATTCATATAACTGAACAGATATGATACATATCCTGTATATATTGGGGCTCTCAAAATCTGTTTCACTGATAGGGCTGCAGAGCCAATAAATAAATAAGTAACCAAGCAAGTAAGTAAGTTAAGTAAGTGAGTGGAGGCCACTGGTCCGGAGAATAGAAGACAGGAAAAACCAAAGGTGACTAAGATTTTAAGTTAGTTGTTTTCAAGTATCAGAAGGCTTTTCTTATGGAAGAAACAACAGATTTCTTCTGTTTCTTCAAAGGAAGAACTAGAATAAGTGGCTAAAGATTACAGGAATTACTATCTAATATAAAGAAAAACCTTCTAGTAATTAAATTTGTCAAACCAGGGAATAGTTTGCCTTGGGAAATAATGAGCTGCCTTGGGAAATAATGAGCTTCTTAGGCTTCGATTAGACAACATAAATCTCTCGACAGTATTAAAACTGTAGGAGAGAGATCTGACTGCATCACAGACTGGACCAGAACAACCTCTGCACCTGCTTCTTCCGCACAAAGAAATGATGAGAATATGAAGTACTTAACATGAGTATTGTTATAGAATGGAATTAACTGGTCCTTGCGCCTGGTTCCTGAAAGGAAAACTCCAAGTCTCTGGGATTTCCCCAGTGACGAGAGTATCTTTTGTATGCTAATGAGGTGACTCCTGTTGGGCCCCTAAATAGCTGCAGAATGGGGGCTGGCCACACCAGAGACCAACCCCGTGATGACAGGACTGAGGCTTTACGCCACATGGGATCAGCCGGACCTTCTGACCTCCAGACAGAGGAGGAGGACTGAAGATTGAATTCGATGATATGGCCAAATATTATGCCTACACAAAGAAACCCCAGTAAAAACTCTGCACATCAACTTTACTTCAGTAGAGATCCTGGCTTCTCAACACTAATGTGCAGGGAGGGTAATGTGCCCTGGTCCCATAAAAGCTGCGTTCGAGACTCTCCCAGCCTCAGCCCCAGGTGTCTCTTCATGTGGACATTCCTTTATTATAAAACTGTAATTGTAAATATAGTGCTCTCCTACCATCTGTGAGTTGTTCTAGCAATTTATGAAACCTAAGGGGGGGGTCATAGGAACCCCCAAGTTTGTAGCCAGTTTGTCATGCAGGTGGCCTTGGGACCCCCCTGAATTTGTGGCTGCTGTGTGAAGTAGCAGCAGATGTGCTGGGGTCTAAGCCCTTAACTTGCGGGACCTAGGCTAATTGTCGGTAGTTAGTACTGGAAATGAACTGCAGTCCACTAGTTGGTGTTAGACCAGTTAGGGTTGAAACCGAATAAACATACTCGAAATATTTTTACTCTATAAACTTAGTGTTGAATGCACGAATTTATTTCCTCATAATGCTAATAATATACATTTTGTGTACGTTCAGTTGTTCATTTCAGAAAGTAAGCTCTTGTCAGAGAAAGAATACTAAATAGGTAGATATTTAATGCATACCATAATAAAGATTTCCATAATGCTTAGAAAAATAACGTTTTTGTTTTATAAAATAAAACAATTTTATAACATATAAGAGCAAAAAGGAAACAGACTTTGAGCACTTTTCAATAAAGTAATTCTACTAAAAATGTTACATAGAAGAGTATCATATCCTTTTTGTTTTTTTTTTTTTAATACTTTATTTATTTATTTTTCGAGAGAGGGGAAGGGAAGGAGAAAGAGTGGGAGAGAAACATCAATGTATGGTTGCCTCTCATGTGTCCCCTGCTGGGAACTGGCCTGCAACCCAGGCATGTGCCCTGACTGGGAATCGAACTGCGATACTCTGGTTCACAGGCCCATGCTCAATTCACTGAGCTACGTCAGCCAGGGCTCATATCCTTTTTGATATAGTTCTAAACAATATAGTGTGCAAATTATTATCTGGTCTACAAATTCTTGTCAACTAGGAGCTAAACTGAAGATTTAATATTTAACATTTGTTAGTGGTAAAAAAAAATACATAAGCAGAATGTATTCACCAAAAAGAGCTAAGACATATTATCAGCTCAGGTCGTTAATTTAAATTCATTGAAAAGTCCTAGAAATTTAATACTTGGGGGCTAATTTAAATGCATTTTTTGGTGTAAAACAGCCCAGAGAACTTCACGCCGATATTCTGTATCTACCCCGCGCACAGTGCTCACCTGGTTTCACCGCCCGCCCGCAGAGCTGGGGCTGCAGAAGAACTTGGAGCATGGCAGGGTTGTTTAAACTCTTCATGATCTGTGCCGGATTCGGCTCTGGGAGTAAGCCCTTCTGACTGCTGTGCATCTTCAGTGAATATAAAAACAGGAAACATGAGAACAAGGATAAGTACATAAGACAAAATTTTAAAGGCTTTCTTCCAGAAATTCTCATTCATCTGATAAGATCTATTTTATGATAAACACAGTTTGCTTTGTATTATATTGTACAACTGTTGTATGCATTCGGCCACAGTTCCTAATTATGTTAAGATATTCTACTATACAGCATATGCTAAAATCCTCACAGAATGCCTCAGTGAAGTACAAGCTGGCTTGAGACTAACAATTTAGTAAGATAAATCTCTTTGTATAAGTAGAAAGATGCCAAAAAGATGTGAATTTATTAACAGGAAGATAACTGTTGACACAACATGAACACCTGGCTACCACAGAAAGCCTTACTATGATGTTGATCTAAAGCATAATAATGTGAGTTGCCTGGGTAACAAAGTTTTCTTACAATAAAGGTCTTTATTATTTCACTACTTTATCCTCTGATATATATATAAAAAAAAGATGGACTGGCCTTACATATATGTCATTGGGTAGCCTCCTAACAATATGAAGTTCTAGGTTGTAAAACGTAGAGCCAGCCTGTTCGATGAGGATATTAGCAGCAGGTTATAAAAGGAGAACTACTAACTGCTCGCCATGAGAAAAACGGAGAACTGATGATGACAGCTGGAATCCCTCTACAAACCCATTAAAAGACAACAGACTTTTGTTGGTAATATGAAGCAACAAGTAGTTGACAAAGAATAACCAAGCAGAAATACTGGGTATTAGAAGTAATGGAGAAAAAAATAGCAGCTCTCCCTTACTATATATCTGACGTTAATCTAAGCATTTTACATGGATTATATCACTCAGTCCTCCAAAACAACTCTACAGGATTGGTATTACAAACCCCATCATATAGTTGAGGAAATCAAAGAAACTCATAAAGTATTACTCTTAATCTCTATCCTGTGCTATAACAGGATAGTTAGTGAAAAAGAACATGTGACTGGAAAACAAAATAGTGACCTGAAAGATCAGTTCGAAGAAAGCTCCCAGACGACATCAACAAAGGAAAAAAAGGAAAAATGCAAACAGGTAAGACAAACCATGGAAATGGAAAGTGCAAACAAAACAAAAGAGAAAAAACAAGGCAATGAAGAGGCCAGAGGCACCAACCTATATGCAACTGGCATCCCTAAAGGAGAAACCAAAAAAGGAAATCTTTGAAGACACGATAGTTGAGAATTCCCCATTATTAAAAAAAAAAAAATGTAAAGACTACAGAATGAAAGGGTTTATAGTGTTCCAAATATGAGCTATAAGGGGAAAACATATCTAGTCACATTTATGGTGTGCAATTTAAGAACAAAGCCAAAATAAAAATGCTAAAAGCTTCCAGTGAGAAAGAACATGACATCAAAAGGCACAAGAAGCACATTAATATCACCGTCCTTCTCAAAGCATCAGCACTGGATTCAAGAAAGCAATGTAATTAATATTTTCAAAGTGTTGCAGGAAAAGAAATCTAAATCCAGATTTTTTTTTCATACCCAGCTAAACTATTACTTCAATATGGGAAAGAAATAGAAATATTCCTGACATACGAAATTTTAAGTTTTATTACAGGAATACCCTCTCCGAAAATGAGAACCAAGAAACAGCAGATGCAAGATACTATTGCATGACGCATGGAAGTTAAGGTATGTAACATCAGCAGTAATTTCAGTCTTGCATACAAAAGCCAGTACCATAAAAACAGAACAAAAAACAAATGTATAGAGCAATGACTGACAGAATAAGGAGAAAGAAAAATCAACAACTATACAAAGCAACATCTAATAATACATTCCTCTCAGACACTGAAAGATTAAACACAAAAAGAAGATAGGAAGATCTGAATAACAATAAGCTCAAACTAACATTTATACACACACATATGTGTACATGAAACTTTATAACCCACAACATAAAAAACAGATTATTTTGAGGCCTATACAACAGCACATTCACAGAAATCCATCCTGCACCAAGCCACAAAAGAAACCACAATATCCCCATTGCACAAATCAACATTAAAACTACATTTTATTTTCTACATTCTCTGATCACAATGCAATGAAGTTACAAATTTATATTGGAAGAATAGCTTTTAAGAATTCCATGGGTGGAAATGGGAGGGAGGTGGGGCACACTGGGGGGGTGGGCTGGGATGGGAGTAAAAGACAGAAAACTGTACTTGAACAATAATTAAATTTAAAACGTATTAAAAATAAACAAACAAATAAAATTCCTAAGTGGGTGTAAACTAAAAACAAAAAAAACCCCAACTAATTAAGCTTTTAGTTTAAAAGGCAATCATAAAGACTTAAGACAATAATCTAAAATTTATGATACATAGGTACAGCATTAGTTAAAAAAATTTGCTTTAAATTCATTTATCAGAAATCATCTAGATGAAAACAAAGACACTAAGCATTGATAGCCCAAACAAGAAACAAAAACACCATAAAGATGAGGGCAGAGATATGCGAAAGATAGAAACAATGAACAAAACAGGAACTGTTTCTTTGAAAAGACAAAATAGAGAAATAGAGAAATCTCTTATAGGACTTATCGAGGAAAAAAATGCAAGTAAATAAAATACACAATGAAAACCAGAATGGACAGACAAGTTCTAAAAATTATAAAATATAACTATATGCTAGTAAGTTTGAAAACTTAGACAAAATGGATAAATTTGTAGAACAGAATCAAATGCCAAATATGGCACAGAAAGAAAAAATACTAAAATATCTAAATATTCACAGAAGAAAGTTAAGTGGCAATCATTAAATTCCCTCTAGAAGAGGCTCAAAGACTAGGTCTATATGGTCTCATAGATGAGACTTAAACTTTCAGAAAATTGATAACTGTATTTTACACAAGTTTATCCATAAATAAAAAGAAAAGAAGACAAATAATATTTAAATTATTAAATGAGATCAGTGTTCTAATGATTTCAAAATTAAGAATGGTACAAAAGCCCTGGCTGGTGTGGCTCAGTGGATTTACTACAGGTTGTGAACCAGAGGGTCTCCAGTTTGATTCCTAGTCAGGGCACATGCCTGGGTTGCAGGCCCAGGTCCCCAGCTGGGGGCGCATGAGAGGCAACCACTCATGGATGTTTCCCTCCCTCTCTTTCTCCTTCTCTTCTCCTCTCCCTAAAAGTAAATAAATAAAATCTTTTTAAAATGGTACAAAAATTCTAAGCATTTTGCACACATTTGTATATATTCTAAATAAAATACTATCTAATCAATGTATCGAAAAAAATCACTATCAATTAGGGTTATAACACAAGGATGGTTTAACATTAGAAAATCTATCAGTGTAATTCAGCACATTAATAAATTTATGGAGAAATCACATGGTTACCCCAATAGTTGTTGAACTACTCTGATAAAGTTTAGTGACTATCCATGATTTTTAAATCTCAGAAAACTTGATAAAGGATATGTACCAAGAATCTATAGAAAATATCAATGTAATACATTACTTTTGAGACTGAAACAGTTTAAGATTTCTCATTATCACTGATATCTAGTCATGAAGGGCCTTGTAAGTCATGCTAAGGAACCTGAAGTTCGGCAGGCATTAAAGAATGTTAAGCAAAAGGACAAAATCCGATCTGAGGAGGAGAGAGATCATCACTCTGGCACTGGGGGAGGTGGGTCAAAGGGGCAGACTAATGACATGGTGATCAGGCCGGGGTTATTCTAATCATCAAGGTGAGAAAAGGTGACATCCTGAGTAAAATAACAAAGATGCTAACAAGCCTCAAGGATTTAAGAGACAACAGGAGGGGCAAATGGGAGGATTTGCTAATATTTTTGACATTATATTTGGGGAGTGGGTGAAGGAGACCAATCACGGTTAGCTAAGTTTTTGGTTCAGATAGGTTTAGTTTGGATGAATTGATGCTATATACAGATATCACAAAACATAGAAAAACAAGTCCCAGAGATAACTAGGTGTTTTGTGAGGGGGCGTGTATGAAATTAAACTATATATATAAAGATGGGTTGTCTAATAATTATCTGGAAATACAGACTTAGTGCTTAGAGTACACACTTTGGCTCAAAAATGTATGCTTGAAAGTAATCACAAACAGGCAACAACTAAAGGCGCTGGAGTATTTAAGATGAAAAAAGTGGGTCCCTCGGCTCCTGTGCTACGGGACCCAAGCATCCGAGGTGTTGATGAGCAGCATCATGGACCAGGTAGGTAATGCAGTTCGTTGAGCACAGTCAGCAGTTTGTGAAGGATTCAATTTGGCTGGTGAAAAGATGCACCAAACCGAACAGAAAAGAGTTCCAGAAGATTGCCGTGGCAACAGCAATAGGATTTGCTATAATGGGATTGATTGGCTTTTTTGTGAAATTGATCCATATCCTCATTAATAACATCATTGTGGGTGGCTGCTGAACACCTTTTTAGAGGGTTTTTCCTCTTGGGGACTGGTCAACAAGAGAGGATTTGAGAAGCTTATGGAGTAAAAAAAATTACCTGCATATTTTGTATTCTTTCATTTTTTTCCCAGATGTTTTCTATTTCTAAATTAATTTCAAAAAAAAAAGATGATTAAAAAGTGAGGTCAAATACAGAAGCCTGCTGACACCAGCCCTTAGAGAAAGAGACAGGGGGTGTGGCAGAATTCAAGGTAACAGAGGGTTTTAAGTATTGTGAAGAGGCCAAGCAATGACGACTGAAAAGTGCCTATGTGGTCTGAATTTCTTTTTATTTATTTTTAGACAGAGGGGAAGAGAGAGAACATCAATGTGTGTTTGCCTCTCATGCACCCTGTACCGGGAATCCAGCCCACAACCTAGGGATGTGCCCTGACCAGGTAATTGAACCAGTGACCCTTTGGTTTGCAGACCAGTCCACTGAGTCACACCAGCCAGGGTACGACCTGCATATTAAGAAATCCCTGTTGATCTTCATGAGAACAGATTCACTATTCAAGTGTCGTAGCAACGACACTGTATTAGGCTGAGAGGGAAATGAGAGCTGAAGACATGGTGACAATGAGTGGGACCTAATTGTTCTAGAGGCTCCGATTATGAAGGAAAATATAAAGGCTGGTATGTAGAGAAAATTTTTAAAGGAAGAGACTTGAGAATGTTTATAAGCAGATGGGATGGAGCTAGTGGAGCAACAAGTGAAAATACGGTTAAGTAGAGACATGAGGGTCCAGACCCTTCGGGACGGTGGACATGGCCATGAGCCCCTGCGTTGGCAGGAGGAGGCACAGCTCTCCCTCCAAGAGGGCAGGGATCTTTGTCCCTGCTTCGCTCACTGATGATCCTAAACACATCTGAGAGTGTCCAGCACACAGTAACTATCCAATCAGTAACTGTGGAATGAATGCTATTAGAAAGAAAAAGAAGCAAAAATACGGGGGCACATTTGCTAGAGGAGTATGAGAAAAGGCAAATGAATGAGTCCAGCACATGACCTTTCTATTTCTATAAAGTAGGGGCCATGACCACCTGATAGAAAGAAGGGCAAAGGCAAGAATACAGTGAAGATTGAGACAGTTGCTGCAGAAAATGGAAAGCAGCAGCTGATGAGAGATGCCTTTATACATTCAGTCCGCCTAGACCACTTACCACTCTTCAAGCAGACAAATTCAAGTCACACTACTGCTCGAAAGGTTTTGTTCCAACTAGAATTTGACCACTCTCTCTCCCTCCTTAGAGTTACCAGGATTAGCAAGTAAAAACATAGGATGCCTCGTTAAATCTGGGTTTTAGATAAGGAACAACTTTTTAATATATATATGACTCACACAAAAGCTGGATTTACCTGGCGATCCTATCCTCTACCCCCATCAACACATCTCAAATTCATATTTTAATGTCATACTCAAATATCACCTTTGTCATGAAGTCTTCCCTTCAAAAGTGCATTCCGTCCTTCCTTTGAATCAACAAATAGTTACACCATGCTCAGTGCTAGGATTAGAAAATGGGAAGAAGGAAAAGTCTAATCTGCATGGAACTTCCAGACTGGAGAAGCAGAGAGAGGATTAAGGGGACAGTCACAACAGAGAAGTAGCTGCACTGTGTCATACAAGCAAAAACGAAGCACACATCTTTCACTACTATGTACTATGGATACTTATGAACACTTTGGAAAAAAGAGGCAGGTTACTCTCAAAATTTAGAGCAGAACACAAACTCAAATATTTGTTGAAGGAATGAAATTCTTTCAAAAAACTTCCTAAGATAAATACACTTGATAAAACACAGTTTCTTCTTTTGTAATGATGCGTGGCTTGATTTGACAGAGATGCCATTTACCGATTTTTAAAAAAAGAGAATGTCTTTATGTAGTGGAAAATAATGAAGGTCCAATCAATAATAATTAGGTTGGATAGATTTTTTAAATATTCATATTTTTAATATGCTAATAAACAACAACAAACTCACCACACGTTGAGCTGCTATCAATGCTGCTAATGTACTTCGCCCTGGTGCTCCTGGGGCACAGAAGGAAACTTGGACTCTGCTTCCCTTGATGGTCATACCATCAGCTGCTTGCTGAATCTCCTCAGCATGCTCCGCAGTGTTATACTCAACCACTGCAAAGCCACCCACGTAACTTCCTTCATCCTGTGCAAGCTGATGCAATACATTTTATTAAAAGGGAGTTCTATTATTGAGTTAGAAATAGTTACTTACAGTATATAATTTTCAAATTCAAGAACAAATGTATCAGAGCATGACATTGGTGAAAATAAGGTGTTCTTTCTAAAAATAAATTTACTAGCCCTGGATGGGGTGGCTCAGTGGATTGAGCACCAGCCTGTGAACCAAACAAAGGGTTGCTGGTTCGATTCCCACTCAGGGCACATGCCTGGGTTGCAGGCCAGGTCCCCAGTAGGGGGCACCTGAGAGGCAACCAAGCACACACTGATGTTTCTCTCCCCTCTCCCTCTTCCTAAAAATAAATAAAATCTTTTAAATAAATAAAATAAAAATAAATTTACTAATTGCTTAGGTACACTCCTTTCTAAAAGGCAGGATGACAAACAATATCCTGTCATTTCTTTTTGAATTCTTTGATTTTCTAATTTATTTTAAAAGTCAAAGCCCAAATTATAATATTCCCTACATATTAAAAATATATACAATTGATAATTCATCGGATGAGAACAAAATAATAAAAACTTCCTTTATAATAAGCCCACCAAATACATGAACAATGAGACATACTGAAACAATTATCTGACCACATAACAATGTAAAATAAACTCTACGATCAAGAGGAGAAAGGCAGGAGGAACCATATTCAACTTCTAGTTCAATGTTTTAGGCATATCCCAGGAATTGGTCAAATATGCCAAAGCAAATTTGATTTGGAAAAACTATGCCCCAGTTTTATTAAACTATCATATGCAAGATACAATCTTTATTTCTGAATGTGCCTTAAACTCCTGAAGTGTAGAACTCTATTTCCAGTCACCCACCTGGAAAAGTGTAAAGGAAGATACTAAAGTCCTGGATCTGTAAAGACTGGTACAAAGAGCAAAAATAAGAGCAAAATAAGACACTAAAAAGTTTCTAAGTTTTCTATTTGTCTTAATTAATTTAAACACACTCACACTAGAAAGTTATAAATGAGATAAAATTCACCTGGGTGTGTCTTTGAGAAGACACATGAATGACCCTTCTATTTGGATTTGGCACCTTACAAGTTAATAATACAATTAAATAATTTCTAGTTTCTTTTCTCTCATTTTTGAAGCTTAACTTCTATTCTCTTACGCGGTAGACCAAATTTTTTTTCCTTCATTTCCTCCCTTCCTTTTAAAACTGTCCTATGTCTTTTTCTCCATAAAACTTCTTCCCAGTCACATGGGAGAAAGGGAAGGTATCGACCTCGTCCAAATGTTTCTCCTACAACCCCATTCCTTCATAATACACACCAGATCTTAAAGTCAGATTTGTAAAAGCCATTATTAGTCTCTCTGGTCTCTTCTGATTACAAAGTAAGAGACTGTGTCTTCAATATAGTCTGTGTCAACCTACCAAGCAAAAGAGCCTGAATTTAACGGATCTACGGATAAAGGCATCATAGAGTTTTTTTCATCAGTCTTATAAAAACTTTAAAAACATTTTTGATTATACCTGGTTCATTATGGTAGGCTTCATGCCTATATAACTTATAATACTATTTGAATTCTTTCCAAAGACTGAAAGCAGTCTAAGTCCATGGCATAGGCAGTTTTAGAGAGCAGTAGTTCATTTCAACATGAGAGCCATTCAGATACATCAATGGTCTGACCTGTGATCTGGTAACATTCCATTATTTTGAAATACTTTAACCAAAGCTAAATAAATGGTCATGCACAAATACTGTAACAAACATTTTTTTTATGAGATGACACCCTTCAACCCTGAGACTCATAATTCAAATAAAATTTGTGCTAAATGGCTTTTCTCCTCTCATTGGTTTCAAAAGCCTTAACTTAACCCACAAAGAATTATGTATGGCCACAGAATGTTACTATATAATTTTTAGTATCAAGAATAGCAAGTCTATAAGATAATCAACTTTAAGTGACTGGTCAGAGATTTGATTAAAAATTTGCCCAAAAATTTTATAAGGCTCTTGGGTGGTTTCTTTGATGCTCATTATACAGGGATCTGAGGGGTAGAAATTTAAGAAAAGTAAGATGGTAGCATTCATTATATATATGTGTGCATATATATGTATATGCATGTGTATGTATTTATGTATCTGTATGATTATCTATCTGACTCCAAATAACCTACTACAATTGTAGAGATTCAACAAATGTTTGATTAATGAAAAAGGAATGGACAGGTGAGAAAAGAAAAGAAGGGAAGAGAGAAAGTTTATCAGTTAATATTTTTTAGTGTAAAGGAAAAAGATATGTATAGTATGTACTTTTGTCTAATTAACTGAATACATTTAATTTTACTATAATAAAAAACTTTAAATTTTTTACCAGTGTTGTCAGTTTTCAGGGTCTTTCCTAAATGTCTCGCTTACCATGACTCCACTAAGACAAAGTTGTTTGTTCTCTTTAAAACTCATTATACTTTTCTCTTTTCCATTGTTATCACTTTCACACAGGATTTACAATGATGAGATTGTTCATCAGTCTCTTCTACAAAATGGTACAGTGTTGAGATGATCTTTCTGTTATGTATATTTCTGACATTTAGCAATTTAGTATCTAGCATGGAGAAGGTAACAAACAATGAGTAGATCAATGGAGGAATGGTATACTGAATGGATGAAATGAGGTGTGTAAGTGATGGATTTGCTTAGACATACTTAAATATGTCACGGTAGAGTTTGGCCCATTGACAAAAGGAACTAATTTAAAATTTACCATGCTATTAAAGTCTTCATTATAAAGTAGAATTAGATTATCCACTGTGATATTCACATAGGTATAATAAATTTGTGACTACGTAGAATAGATACATACACAGATATTTTAAAATATCTCTAATGCTATGTGAAGAACACACACCTGGCAAAACACAGGCTTATGGATGCTGGAAAATACTTGCAACAGCTCCTCTGAGTCCCTGTAGTCAGTAGGGAGTTTATCCACACAAAGGCACTTGGAATGAATGAGCTCTGCAGTTAGCAGGTTAACGTCCATCCACTGTGCAAACAGAGCTGATGCTCCCAGCTGCTTGCCCAATAGCTCCAATCTGGCCTTTGCAGCGAAGTCCTTTTTCATGTATTCTACAAATCCATAGCCTTTGGAATGGCCAGTAACTTCACTGTAGACCAGGAAACATCTCTCGATATTTCCGTAAGCACGAACAAGTTCTTCAAACTCTTCTAACGTAAAAGAAGCGGGTAAGTTAGTAATACACAGCAAAGCATCTGTTGGCTGGAGCTGGACTACTAAGTCTTTTCCTCGAAAAGAATATTGATGAAACATCTGAATTGCACTCTGGGCTTGTTCCCCATTCAATAAGGTAACAAACGCTGGAAGATAAAATAAAGAGTTTTGTAAGCTTGTGTTTTCAAACTTTTTTGACTGTGACTCACAGTTGGCAATATATTTTATGTCTACACTCATTACACACATACATATATTTCTGAAACAAAAGTATGAAGAAGTAATATTCCTACCACATGTAAAGCATTCAGGTATTTTCTATTCAATTTCACTGTGTTTTTTAATGCTGATACCCCCCACTAAACTTATATCATGACCAGTAACTGAAATTTAACGTACAGAAATTACATTAGAAAACTGTACTTGAACAACAATTAAATAGATTAAAAAAATTATATTAGGTATTCCACTGCAGGATACTACAATATTCTTGGGGGGAGGGGCTGTTGTTTTGTGTGTGTGTTTGTTTAATCTTGTAGGCTGTGGCCGGGCAGCTCAGTTGTTTAGTATGTCAACCCCATAACCAAAGTTGCAGGGTTGATCTCTGGTCAGGCAGGGCACATACAGGAAACAACCAATGAGCACATACATAAGTGGAACAATACACCAATGTCTTTTTTTTCCTCTCTCTCCCCCCGCTGCCCCCTTCCATTTTCTCTAAAAAAATAAAAAAAAAAAAAAAGCAATAAATGTTTTAATCAGATGGATTTTTAAAAACATTATCTTTTCAAAGTACATGTAGATTTTATTTTTTCCCCCCAGAAAATTGCGATGCAACATTCTATGAAGCCTTAAAACCTTTTATTCTTTTCCGAGTTTACAAGACCCTATTAGATAACAAGGACCTAAGAGGTAGAGCAAAAAAGGCACCAAATGCCCAGGGGAAGCGAGTTCTTACTCACAGTCGAGTATGTTTCCTTAAAATTAGATTAATTAGATTGAAACAACACACGATTTGGTGTACTTTTGGGGTTTTGTTTTATTTTGTTTTAGTCCTTACCTGCGGATATGTTTATTGCTTTTAGTGAGAGAGAAACACCAATCGGTTGCCTCCCAAACACGCTCTGACTGGAGATCAAACCTGCAAGCCACACACACGCCCTGACTGGGGACTGAACCGGTCAGTTTCTGTGCACGGGACGACGCTCAAACAGACTGAGCCACCCAGGGACGGAGCAATGCGGTCCACTCACTGGACGAAAAGTAGGGCATGAAAAGATGGCAGCGTCGTGATGCTGGGCAAGTAGATTAACTCTGAAACTTTATAAAAGAAACAAAAAAATCTGTCCTGTCTACCTAATGAGGTTGTCGCAACATTAAGCAACAAATACATGTGACAACAGGTAAAATCAAAACACGATGGAGACAGAGGTTCTAAATTATGAGCACATTCATACCTGATCAAATTAAAATGTAGCCATAATGAATTATTGGTTATAACAAAAACAAGGAATATACCGATTTCACGCAATATTGTAAAAAGGAAAGAAAAAGGTTAAAGCCCTGGTTAAAAGAAACAGCAAACAGCAATCCTCAAATTACGAATGAACTGCTGTCTCAAAAGTTCCTCCCTGTCCTCTTCTCTCTCCTCTGCTTGGAAAAGACAGCGGAGCTGCTCCCTCTGAGCATTTAACTCACCCAAATTCAACTACGGCAACGCTGCAAATACGCACAGGGCCAGAGAAAAAGGAGGCATTTAAACGAAACTGGCAATCCCGCCGGTCATTTCACTCAAACTGCCCTTCCCTCCATTGCTCTGGGTGCCCATGTGGCTCTCAGAGTGTGAGCAAGTCAACACCGCATGTGAAGTTACCATTTACAGAAACACGTTTCTGTTTAACACCATCACCGTACACAAGGAAACGACTGCCAAAGGAATACCAGCTTTTCCAACCCGAGGGGGAGAATGGCAATGCCGCACTTTCTGAGAGAGCATCTCTTGGTTTCCAACGTCCCTTTTTTAAAGACTTAAGTTATTTTTATTGTGTCATTCTTTACTATGCTGACATAAAATACCTTTTAACTGTATTTTCGAAAACAAGCAAACAAGCCAACATTTTGTAAATACTGGTTCTATTTTATATCAGCCCATAAACTTATCAGTTGGTATCTGACTTGAATTTTTAGGGCATTTGAAACTTAACCATCCCCTTCCTTAACTTTCTTAATACACATTTCCCCAATTCTCCTCATACCTCTCCTTCCATTTCCTTTTCTAGATCTTTCCCCTGCAACCACCCCTCTAAAGCTGTGATCCTCAGGGTGCCTTTCTGCAGAGTCACGCACGGTAATAATACCCGTGGCTGTATCCAGCACTCCTGAGCCAGTGACTGTCCCCTCTTCTTTCTCCGCCCTCTTCCCCTGCACACTGATGTCCCTTCCCATTTATTCCGTACTATGTGTGCCAGGTACTGCGTCGGGCACTGTGAGTGAGCTGCTGAACAAAGCACAGCAGATCCCTTCCAATATAGCTCACAATTCAATAAAGGACGGCAGACATTTGACAGAGTTACAACTGTGGTGTTACCAAAGAGGTATGAGGGGCTATAAAAGCAATTAATAAAGCAAAATGACCTAGCCTGGGGCTCACAGAAGGCCCCCTATACCCTGCTCACTCCCAAAGCTATGTTCCTATATATGTTTCCATTTATATCCATGTAGATTCCCACATGACAAAACATAACTTAGGATCTTCATCCTACCTTTGCTCCCCACCAAATATCTCAGTATTGCTCTTCCCTATTCCCTAATTTAACTGGTAGCACCACACTCACAAATCAGAAACCTGGGGGTTACCCTAGACCAAGGGTGTCAAAGTCATTTTCACTAGGGGTCAAATCAGCTTCGTGGTTGCCTTCGAAGGGCTGAAATGACTCTAGGACTGTATAAATGTAACTACTCCTTAACTGTTAAGGAGTTGAAATTACATTCGGCCCTTGGGAGGCAACCAGGAGGCGGATGTGGCCCCCAGTGAAAATGAGTTTGACACCCCTAGTCTAAACCCTATATTGCTCACCTCCCACATAAAAAGAATCCTCAAATTCTACCCTCCAAAGAGGTTTTGAATCCACCCTCTTTCCTTCATTCCTTTTTCACACTGACAATAAAATGATCTTTCTCAAAAACAGAAGTTTGGTTGTGCCTGTTTACTGCCAAAAATGCAGTGGCGTGGTGCTGCCAATAAAGCGCAGCCCCGGCTCCGTCACCAGGCCCTCCGAGGCCCGCTGTGCTCGGACCGACTCAGGAACGGCCAGGCTGCCCCTTCCCTACACAGTCCTTTCTTCTCCCAGAACACTCATTCCCTAGGCATCGACTTGTTTCAGGCTTCTCTACACCCACTACACACCTACTGCCCCTGCCTGCACGGTCTCTCCCCATGTGTTCCGCCCCCCAAAACCTGTCAGCAGACATTCAAACCCAGCCCAAGGATTACTGCATCATGGCCTCCGGGAGCCTTCCCTGATGGTCTTTTCCGGTTCGAGTTAACAATTCCTTTCTTAGCAAACTGCTGTACTTTGACCATTGCTTGGATTGTTGCACACATCACACTGAGTTACAACATACTTGTTTAGAGGTCTGCTACCCTACTAAACTGTGAGCTCCCTAAAATTACTGATGGATACATTGCTATCAACTACCACAGTGTCTGGCGCCAAGTAGGAGCTTTGTAAATGCTGGCTGAATGAGGGTGTACATACTTCAATTAATAAACTTAACAACTGACAACCTCTTATTTTCCTTCCCTTAGATATCTGCATTCGCTCAACCTAGGTAAGACATTTTATGGTAGAATTTAGATAAAATAATGCAGCAAATTTTAAAGTTCAGGAAGTAGGGAAAGGAGCTCACTGATTCTCTTCTACAGCTTCTTCCATTTCTTTCCCAAGGCCACAGATTCTCTGTAAATAAAAAGTCCAACTTTTATTTCACATTGCCTCCTGTGGAAATAGCAGGTGTCACTCTACAGAAAAGGGAGTAAGGGATTTGGAGATTAATTCTGTTTCTACTTTCCTGTTGAAATTTAAACATTCCCCAATTGGTCCCATCCTTTTGCAAGTCATAATTTTATTTATCCTTTTACCATTGCTTGCTCTACTAGTTAATTTATTCTTGAGACAAATTTCATGGCAAGCAGGCAAAAAGTTACTCCCCTAATGTATCCTATCTTAATACAATTATTTTCTCTAACATACTATATCGTAAGGTCATAGTTTGTAACTGTAACCAGGTTTTATTAATCTATTCATTATCTGGTCCTTCAAGCACCACCACAGCTAGTGAGGCAACATTACCGAACACCCTTATTGAGTTTCTTTGTTGTACTATTTCAGAGGGCGAGTTAGGGTCAAGACTACGTCACCTTTAACTTATCATGGTCTACCAACGGGTGATACCGACCAGTTCCTGTGGAGCCTGAACTTCACAGCAGTGTACTCCCGTTTACCCCTCAGCCTTTGTATTACTGTTGTCATACACTGTATGTGTGACACCGTCCATAACAGTGTTGTTATTTTCACCTTGAATAGTCAGTTACCTTTCAAAAAATTTAAATATTAAGAAAACAGTCTTTGCCCACACAGTAGCCATATCTGTTAGTCTTCGTGTTTTGCTGCAGACCCAGGTTTCCATCCACCGCTACTTTCTTTCTGCTTCAAAGACTTCCTTAAACATGTTTTATAATGAAGGTCTGATGGTGAAGAATTCTTTCACCTTTCATATGACTGAAAAACCACCTTCACTCTTGTTCTTGAAGGTATTTTTGGTAGGTAACTAATTCCATACTGATTTTTTTTTCCCCAGTAAAAAAACAAGGAAAGATTTTGCCCCATGGTCTTTTCACTTGCATTATTCCAAGAAATTCATGGTCATCTTTACCTTTGCCCCCTTTCTTAGCTGCTTTTAAGACTTCCCCTTTATAACTAATTACATGCAATTTGTTTACAATGTGCCTTGTCGTTTTCTTTGTGTTTTTGTGCTTCGGGTTGGTTGAACTCTGCAGATTTCTGGGTTTCGAGTTTTCACAAACTGTGGAAATTTTTCAGCCTTTAACTCTTTAACGTTTTTTCCTGCAGTCCCCCCGCCCTCTTTCAGAGACTACAATTACTCTAATGGTAGGACTCCTGAAGCTGCCCAACAGCTCACTGGTATTCTGTGCATGTTTTAATAGCTTTTTTTTTCATTCTGTTTCATTTTAAGTAGTTTTTATCTCTATGTATCTACATTCAATAATCTTTCCTTCTGAAATGTCTACTCTGCTGTTAACCCCATCCACTGTATTTTTTATCTCAGACATTGTAATTTTCATCTCTAGAAATCTGACTTGTTATTTTTGAAGTATTTTATTTATTCATTTTTAGAGAGAGGGTAAGAGAAGAAGAAAGAGAGGGAGAGGAACATCAATGTGTGGTTGCCTCTCACGTGCCCCCTATCAGGGGCCTGGTCCACAACCCAGTCATGTGCTATGACCAGGACCTGAACTAGTGACCCTTCGGTTCACAGGCTGGCACTCAATCCACTGAGCCACACCAGCCAGGGTGGTATTTTTCAATTATCTTCTATATTGCCATATAATATGTTCCAATGTTATTATAATCTCTTATACAGATGGAACACTGTTATAAAAACTGTTTTAATGTCCATTTTCATTAATTCTTCTGCTTCAACTCCAAGTGGTTTTGATTGCTCTTTTCCTTATTGTCATGTCTAGTAATTTTTTATTTGATGCCAGACACTATAACTGTTACCTCATTGGATGCTGAGGTTTTTGTATTTTTAAAAACATTCTTAACTTTAGTTCTAGGATGTGGTTAAGTCAACTAGGAAACAGCTTGATTCCTTCTGGCCTCACTTTTAAATTTTGTTAGCTAAGACCAGAATTAATTTTCTTTATTCTTGAGTCAAGAATATTCCTCCTGATGCACCATGAATTATGAAGCTTATCATCTAGCAGATGGAAGTATCACTATTCTTGGCCCTGGATGAGCCCTGAAGACTGTTATCTCTAAATACTAAAGTACCTGAATATTTAGTAACGCTGAAATTGTACGTAACATATGACCCAGTGATTTACTTGTGGAGAAACCGTGGCAATGGATAAGACAAACAAAAGGATATTCATTGGAACACTATTTAAAATACTGAAATGGTTAAAGCTTCCTAAATGCCTACCAGCAATGAACAGATTTATCAATGGTGATAGATTCACAGGACAGAATACTAGGTAGTAGTTTAAATCAGGGAACTAGAGCCATATATACTAACATGAAAAGACCTGAAAATAAGGTTGAGTTAAAAAAAAAAAGTTACTAAGTGAAATACATAGAATACCATTTATGTAAAGTTTTAAAAACACTCAGAATAACTCTATTAATTACATCTAGAGGTGTAATAAAATTACAGGTATTAATTAGATAAGGTAGTCTGGTAACAAATAGCTTCGCAGTCTCAATGGCTTAACAAAACAAAAGGCTTTGTTGTTGTTGTTCACGTTACACATTTCACGCTGAAAGGAAGAAAGGAAGCACGCAGGCTTTTCTCATCCTAGTCACTCTGGGACCTAAGCTGAGGGGCTGCCTCTTCCTCAATTACTTCCACAGGGAGAAGGGGGACAGATGAACCGCATGCTGGCCCTGAAATCTCCAACCTGAAAGAGATACATGTCATTTCCACCTGCACTTTGTTCATCAAAAACCAAGCCACACGTCCACTCCTGGCTTCACAGAGGGACAGAGGGAGACTGTCCCACCTCACGCCCAGAAGAAACAGAATGAGAGTCTGTGCTCTAATAGCCGCCACAGCACAGTGGTGAAGTTCAGGAGTGTGCACCGAGTCTCCTGGTGCTGGGCCCCAGGAAAGGAGGGCCAGATGGGATGGAGTCAGCGACAGGGAGAAACTGTATTTCACCTTCATCTGGAACACTCCTGTTTTCAATTTCTTAAAGTTAGAAAAAACAACGCAGAATTCCTGACCATACTACCAGAGACTTTCAGTCAACAGATCTACCTTAAGGTACCAGCATATAAGTGTGTGTGTGTGTGTGTGTATGTGTGTGTGTGTATATGTAAAGACAAAAAATTTGTAAACATTAAAAAAATATTTTTATAAACCATTTGCTAATTTGTGAATGGATGTGTGCATAGTGGTTATATCATCCTCCATACTTTTCCTTACTTTATCATGTAAAAAAAAAGTTTTTTAGACATTTCTATTATCTTATGTAAACAAAGGAAACAATCTAGATTAGTCTTTTAATATCACAGATATAAAATACCCAGAAATATTAATCAATTTCCCCAATTGGCCCAGCTAAGGCCATAGTTTATTCACTGAGTCTAGTAATAAATTATTAAAACTGAAGATAAAAAGCCTATGAAGAATATTCATAATAACATTAAAACCTATAATACTAGAATAGTCATAAAAATTCATAAGGCTCGAGTAACACTATATGAATTAATATGATTAAAATTTAGGATACCAATCTTCAGAAAATAAATTGTATGAGTTTATGTATATGATTTAATACTTAAGAATTTCAGTGATTAGCTTAAGAATGAAAAGACACTAAGCTTTTTTGTGTTATAATGACTAATGTACAATCAAAATAAAATCAGATGCTTAAGAACTGAAACCTTACCTGTTCGCTTATTTCTGTCCACATAGCAATACTTTAACTCATAGTCCTGTAATAAGTCATGAACTTCCTGAAAGAGACCAAACATGAATTCAATTAATACACAAAGGCGCTGGTGCACAATCTGGGTGCACTGGCCTACCTCCATTACCACCGCCCTCCCCAAGTAAAAAATTTTCCATGAATTTCTATAACTTACTTAAATTTAAAGCATGTAAAGCCTACTGGACAGGACACCAACCTACCTCTCCAAATATATCTCCAATACACCCCTACACATTCCCATGCTCCTGTTCAAATGACTGCTCCCTGCCTCATGACTGTACCACATACAGTCCTCACTGTGAATTTCTGTTGACGCGGGTACCTTGACCTAGCGCGGGGTAAACATACCACTAAAGCTCCCAAACTAGACCTGAAATCACATGCAACTTTGAAATCGCAGCTCAAATGTTCTTTAGGAATCTTTTCCCCGTTCTTTTCCACAGGACACAACCATTCCCACATCTCTGCTAACAATGGTCACACTTTATACCTCTCTTATAGAAGAAAATATTGATACTAAACTTTCTACTTATGTACTTACTATACACTAAGGTCTTAACAAGTAATAAACCTTTAGATGCTTATAGTACCGGTATGGAGAATAAATAAATGTAGACTGCAAACCTAACTTAAGAGACCCAGGGTATGAAAACAAGTAACTATGACCATGGTACAGTTCGGTTTGTTTCCCCAAGATGTTTTAACTGGCCTTCTGGTTCATTCTGCTCCCTATTATTAATCCCATCTTAACTTGTTTCTTCTTTTAAGATTTCAATTATTTATTTTTAGAGAAGTGGGAAAACAGGGAGGAAGAGGGAGAGAAAAATCATCAATGCATGGCTGCTCTTCACAGGCCCCCCACTGGGGACCTGGCCGGCAACCCAGGCATGTGCCCTGGCTGGGAATAGAACCAGCGACCCTTTGGTTTGCAGGCCAGCATTCAATCCATTAAGCCACACCAACCAGGGTGTGAACTTGTTTCTTCTAATATCATCCATCCACCTGGGAGCCTGAAAGAGTACATTTCTACTTCTAGTCCTTCCTGTTATATTGATATACTTGAGTACAGGAACTATATTTCATATATTTGTGTATTACTTGTATTGCTTTGCATATGCTAGACACTCAAACCAAATTTATTCATAAAGTGAATAAATTTAATTATTTGAACAATGAATCAATATTTGGCCTTGAAAAAATATGCTCTTAATGCACAACAGATGCAGTTACTTTTTAAAGGAACTGGACTTCCATATAGATGGACATTCTGATCTCACATTGGAGAGTTACAATCAGCCTGTTCTATATTGCAAATAAAGAAACCAATATACACAAGTACTAGTATGTTAAGTTTACAATCTTAACTAGTTAATTCAATAATAATTCTTATTATTACCACTGTTACAGTTAATATTCATTTAGCTTTTACTAGGTACCAGAGCACTGAACTTACCCCTTTCATTAAAAATCAGGAAACTGGAGCACAGCAAATTCAAGTAGCTTGTCAAAGTCACATACTTGGTAACCTGCTGAGTGAAGACCCACCCACCAGTCTGGTTGCAGAACCATACTCTTAACCTCGATACCATACTGCTTATTCCTTCCAGTATTAATTAAAAATAGTACACTACCACTAGTAGTTATAAACACAGTATCACTACTGCCCTAATAAGTAATCATGTGGGAAATAAATAAAAGGACAGTTACAAGTTGAGAAATATTTTTCCTTTTAACCCAGTGCAAGGGGGGAAAAGAGTGATATGACAAAGTATATAAACAAAATGCTGGCCTTTCAGCTCTCCGAGCAGCACCACAGTGGTTGGCAGGAACAAGCACCTTACAAAAGGCGGCAGAAAGACAAGAAGGAATTGGTTGATCTACTTTCTAAGAAAGGCTGGTGTAATGTGAAAACAGTTACACGTTCAATATAAGAAATACTGGGGAAAAACTAGTCACAAAAACTCAAGGACCCAAAATTGCATGAATGATCTCAAGGGTCATGTTTCTGAAGTAAGCCTAGCTATTCTGCAAAAACGATAAAGATGCATTTAGAAAATTCAAGCTAATTACGGAGGATGTCCAAGGCAAAAACTGCCTAATTTCCATGTGTGGATCTTACCCGTGACTCCATGGTCCAAAAGTGGCAGGCCACAACTGAAGTTCATGTTGATGTCAAGACTACTGATGGTTATTTGCTTCACCTGTTCTGAGTTGGTTTTACTAAAACACTCAACAATCAAATTTGAAAGACCTCTCTTGTGCTCAGCATCAACCAGTCTGCCACATCTGGAGAAGATGATGAAAATCATGACTTCAGAGGGGCAGGTGAATTACTTGAAAGAAAGTGGTCAATAAATTAATTCCCAATAGCGCAGGAAAAAAAACAAAGGGAAAGCTTTCCAGTCTATTTATCTGCTCCATGGTGTATTTGTTAGCAAAGTCAAAATGCTGAAGAAGCCCATGTTAGAACTGAGAAAATTCGTAGAGCTTCATAGTGAAGGTAGCAGTTCTGGAAAAGCTACTGGGGATCGGACAGGTACTACAGTTACATGAACTGTTGGTTATGAGCCCCCAGTCCAAGAAGCTCTTTAGAACTCAGACATTGAACGGTGACAAATTTAAAAAATCCTACTTTTGGGAAAGAAACACAAAACAATGCTGGGTGAAAACATGTGATTACAAGGAAGACAAGAAAGATAAAAAAGGTAAAGTTGGTAATTCACTATTCCTAATTAGCAAGTCAATAGTAGAAATGTTTTAAAATACATATATTTACCAGTTCTGTAAAATATTATTTGATAAATTATATAGTAATATGATCAATAAACAGAGTTTATATATTACTATGGTAATTTTTTATCTTGTAAACTCTTATGTTTTCTTGGACTTAAAGGCCTGGCCCCTGCACTCATGTGTACTGGTTGAGAATCTAGAGGGACCCTCAGGTGCAAAGGTGCCCCCTGAAGAGTGAGGGTCCCAACCCCCCAGCTGGGATCCCCAGCTGAGATCATCAGAGCTGGAAAGAGGAGCCCACATAATATCTGGTTGTGAAAATCAGTGGGGATTCTTCCCACCAGGAAGAGACCCAGGCACCTTCGTAAGGGTCAGTGAACAAAATTTTGTTCTTGGTCATTCTCCCATGGCTCTGGTGGAGGAAAGGTAACTAAGAACAAACTGGAGTCATTCCAAGAAAAACTGGGTGGCATGGCCCCATGGAGAGATCCTGGAGGGCCAGCCCCGAAGGTCTCTGTGCAGACTTCTATGCTGAGTCGCTGTCCCACACACCCACAGATGCCATCTTCCCTGGGTGGAGCACTCATATCCTTACGGCACCAGCCTGGGGAGTGCACTAACCCAGTCTTCTAAGTCCCAGTGGCCCATGCCAAGCTCTGCACCTGCAGAGAAGTCTGCTGCAGTTAGGGCACCATGTGCTCTGCCTCGGGGAACAGTGAGGAAGACGAGAGTCTTCGACAGACACTGACTTATGTGGCTCCAAAGTAAGAGGCCATTTGCCCCCCTGCACAACAGCAGTGCCACACCCCAACAGAAGACCCACCAGCCCCATCCTCCTGATTCCCAGTGGCCCTGATCTGCCCTGCCCAGGGAGAACCTAGGGTGCACTTTTTCTTGACGTTCTTGTCAGAGTCTTAGGCACTGTTAAATGAAGGGAGAAATTGACAGTAATAGTTATAATAGAGGATTTTAAAACCTCACTGACATCAATGGATAGATCTTCCACACAGAAAATCAACAAGAATACTGCGGCCTTAAACAACACATTAGATAAAATGGATTTAACTGATATTTTCAGAGCATTTCACCCCAAAGCAGCAGAATGTAAGTTCCTGTGAAGTGCACATGGAATATTTTCTATAACAGACCACTTGTTAGAAAGTCTCAATAAACTCAAGAATATTAAAATAATATCAATTATCTTCTTCAACCACAACAGTATGAAACTAGAAATCAATCAAAGTAAAAAACTGAAAAATGCATACACATGGTAGCTAAATAACGTTACTAAACAATGACTGGATTAATAGTAAGATCAAGGAAGAAATCAAAAACTACCTTAAGATGAATAAAAATAAAAGCACAACAACATAAAAATCGATAGGACATGGTAAAAGCAGTCCTAGGAGGAAAATTCATAGCAATACAGGCCTGCCTCAAAAAACAGGCAAAACTGAAAACAAATAATCAAATCTTACAACTAAAGGAATTATTTTAAAAAGCAACAAACAAAGCCCAAAGTGAATAGAAGGAGGAAAATAATAAAGATCAAAGCAGAAATGAGTCAAAAAATACAAAGAACTAGTTCTTTGAAAATATACAAAAATTGATAAATCTTTAACCAGACTCATCAACAAAAAAAGAGAACCCGAATAAACAAAATCAGAAATGAAAGAGGAGAAGTAACAACTGACACCACAGAAATACAAAGGATTGTAAGAACATCTTACAAACAACTATATGCCAACAAATTGGACAATTTGGAAGAAATAGATAAATTCCTAGAAACATAATGTCTTCCAATACTGAATCAAGAAGAAACAGAAAATCTAAACAGACCGATTATAATTAATAAAAATGAAGCAGTAATAAAAAAAAAACTCCCAGCAAAACAAAGTCTTGGACTGAATGGCTTTCCGGTTTAATTTCACCAAATATTCAAAGAAGAACTAACATGTATCCTTCTTAATAACTTCAAAAATTTCAAGAAAGGGGAAGACTTCCAAGCTCATTTTATGAGGCCAGCACTTTCCTGACCACAAAACTAGATAAAAACACTGCAAAAAAAGAAAATATCCCTGAAGGCTAATATCCCTGAAGAACACAGATGCAAAAATCCTCAACAATATATGAGTGAAACAAATCCAGTAACACATTAAAAAGATCATACACCATGATCAAGTGGGATTTATCCCTGGGATGCAAAATTGGTACAGTATCTGAAAATTCATCAACATGCTAACAGCACATAAACAAAATGAATAATAAAAATCTCATGATCATATCAATAAG